GAGTTTACCTTTTTGTGTAGCTTGTAGAACTTATTGTATTTGGCCTTTAAGAACTTAGCACCCCAAGTGTGATACCTCAAACGGTTCACAACACACCTAGGACAAAGGAGAACTTAAGAGAGATGTTTCTAGATCCAAAATCGGCTCTAATGAACTCCAAGAACTCTAGTGGCCAATTTTGGGTGCTAAGGGAGTCCTTTTATATTGTGGCAAAGTCCAGGGTTAAATCCACGCAAACCCTAATGCCCATGACATTTCATATTACTTAGCCTCCATGGGTTAAACCTTCATGGACTACCATATTGGTTTAGCCCATCCAAAATAACGATTGGCCCACACTATAAGAATCATTGATTTACCAAATCAATCATTATATATTTAACTAGTCTCTTTTAATCACAGAATTAATCCAAATTAATTCTTGATCAATACTAATTAAATAATATGATTTCATATTAATATACTAGAACTTATAATATATTAATAAATCATAAGTAACCTCTTACTCAAGTATCCATCCTATCAAATTGTCCTGATGATATGCAACCCAAAATGGACCATGCTACTATCGGGTCAAGTACATACCAATTATAATTATGGGCTTAGACACCTAATCCAACAGTCTCCCACTTGGATAAGTCTAATAACTATTATTTCAAGTACGACTCCAAAGTGCCGACTAACAGTCGTAGCTCTTAAAAGCCGCTGACGAACTCTGACCTAGTCAATGACACGCCCATTAGATAAGGAATCATATATTCCTCTATTCTATATATCATATGGACATGAGACATGGATTATAATCATTCTCTCTGTTCATCTGTTGTTTACTGATTTCGGATTTATGACAACCAACTAATTGAACAAATCAAATCAGTCCAGTCTTGGCCGAGCACTTAGGGTTGTCATCACTAAATCATCGAGGGGCCCATAAATATCGCTTTAATTCCTCTAAGGGTAAAAGGAACGGGTAAACATCGACTCATATGCTTGCTTGTATTTACTCATCAAATCATACACAACAATATGTTTTATAACACCAAGTTACTGGTGCATTTACTTATGTCAATGTGCAACCGACTAGTAAATTACAACTCACATGTCTTGGTTTCATGAATATAACTGGACACTTCTCAGAGTCAAAGGTTACTGTTCATAGTCAACGCTTCGATACTCTTCGTCTTCGTGAATTGAAGCTGAAAAATTCGTGTGTTTGGTACATTTTAAATATTTTATTAAGTTGATTTTATTTTTGAAAAATTCAAGAACAACAAAAAGATTTTTCATTTGTTTTCTCATTTCTTTTCTAAAAATTCAAAAACTACAAAAAGATTTTTCATTTGTTTTGTCATTTCTTTTCGAGAAATTCTAAAACAACAAAAAGATTTTTCTTTTGTTTTCTCTTTTATTTTCGTAAAATCAAATATCACAAAAAAAATTGTATTTTGTATTGTTTCGTCTTATTGTTTTGTTTCACATAACAAAGATGAATCTCAATTGATAATATTTGTAGTTCTAGGGCCAGATAAAGATTTCGAAACTATTGAACTAGTTAAGGTGTCCCTAGAAGCATGTTGCATCATGTTGACCAAAGTCTCGAATGACTCTATGTGTGTTTAACGAGACCCTTAATGAAATATTTCATACGGAAATTTCTTCCCAAGACTGGCTTATATTCACATTGGTCACATGAGCTACCTGACTCTTCTCACATGAGTTAAGAGTTTACTGTTTTGTCCATAATAACAGAGGTACACATGAATTCTCAAACCAATATTTTTCATCTAAACATTCTTACACGATCACACACGAAGACATATGTCCAAGAGGTCTTTGATTAAACCCATCGAGACTTAGACATATCAAAAATTTGTGTTTATGATATGATATCATGAGACCGTGATGAAAGGAAACCTAATTCTCTAGATTTTAAGGAATTGACGGGGAACTTTATTCTAGTTTTTAATGAAACTTTCATTTCTGTACCTAGATTCGAAACTCCAAATCATATTCATTTCGTATGAGTGATCTTGATCAAACTATCGAAACCCACAATGTTTGTTACCCAACAGGATCCAGCACAAATTTTTCCATGAATATGATTTTCGTGAGAGTTTCATTTGATTTCTAAGTCACTTTTAAATTTAATTCAAAGCATACTTGTCACTGACTACATTGGTCTCACAAGTGATTTTTGTTAAAATTTATCACCTTATGTTTTGGATAATATGTAACGAAATCGTGTATCCACCCATGAAGCCTTGAAAAAGAAGCCCTTTGAAAATTCTCAATAAGTTTTCGATTGTAATTCACGGGAAAACATACAAGCAGTTGATTATCTCTCTTGATAATTAACAAAGTAACTTTTGCCCGGGGTTTAACTGCTTTCGTGTCAAAATGTTTTTGACATCACAAATCCAAAGTTTATCTTTGTTTGATTCTTATATTTTTCTTTGGCACACTGCACTCACGAAATCCTTGAGGTTCTGATAAATACAAACTCAGGTTGATGATTTTCGAAAGTTTGGCACATGACTTCACTTTAAATCCCAAAAGTGAAAGAGCATAACCTCCATCCGAAGGTTGCTGAGGATTCATATTCCATTTGGAGAAATAAACAGGCTGTTAGAAGTGACGTTTTGTATTCTATCCGGTTTTCAAGGAGAAGTGACAGTTACTTTTTCACGCGTAGCTACTTTATCAGAATAGTGGTGCTAGTTTCAAGATGCCACGTTGGATTTCATTAAATGCATATCCCGCTTCAAATTCAAACCTTAGGGATACATATAAAAGGGGATCAAAGATTTCTTTATCATTTTACGCTTTCAAAAGAAAAATTCCCAAATTTTCTCTGCAAAGTTGAATTGTTCTTTAGAAAATTCCACAACCCTACTCATGGATGCTTAAACTAATGTTGATGCACCATCCCAAACCACAGAAGATGTTACATCTCAACCAATCATGAAGATACAATGAACCAACTATCAAGTTGATGCAGATGTATCTCTTTACCCCAATGCTTTGAAGATGTCGGTGGTTGCTCTAAAGAGTTCTGTTCTTTCTACAGCGATGTTTAATTCTTTTGATGTTCCTCTTTCCTGTATCTCAATAGCAGGATCAACTGCAACTTACAACAAAGCCCTACATGTTATTACCTTTAATTTGGTAAATGACAAGCAGGTTAGATTGACGAAGAAGTTATTTTGTCAAATTCTGGAAATTCCAAACACACCACCATTTACTGCTCTTTCGTCTGCACAAGTGAATCATATGTTCAATGAGATGGGTCATCAACCCCCACTCACTAAGATAAGTGATTTTAAGAAGTCTGGTCTTCCAACGGTCTGAAACTTTCTTTTTGGAATATTTTTACGCTGCTTTGACTGGTTGTAGTGTGGGTCTTGACAAATGAAGAATGGAGGTTTATGCAATGTTTGCAGGGGTATATTATGATATTCCAATTGACTACTCCACACAATTATGGAAGGAGTTTCATAAGAGTCTTAAAAACACTAATGTCGTGCAAGGAATTTCTTGTGCACGATATTGGAGTCTTATTTTTAGGTATTTCTATGATAAAGAAGAGATTCAAGTGTCAGATGAAGAGGAAACTGCTAAGTTTATGAAATATCATTTTTCAAAGGATGTTTCAGATGATGCTACAATTTTATCACATGCTGCACGAATTCCTGATGCCATGTTGAAAAGTGTTGATCTGACGAATGTTGTGCTTATCGAATATATGACAACAATTGATCCCAAAGTTGAAACCAGGAAGTTGTTAACAAAAGAAGATGCAGGTCCTTCGAAGAAATCTAGGACAACAAAGAAGACTGTGATCATACCTCATGAGCCAACTAATCAAGAAACGAAGAAATCAAAGTCTCCCAAGAACACCACGAAGCCAGATGAGCAAGTTTCGAAAGTTATAGTAAAGCCCGTTGTACCTATTGAACCTGTTGTTTCAGAATCAACTTCAGTTACAATTCCTTCCAAGACTGGAGTTTTTCGGAGATTAAAGCTGAAGTATGGCGGTTCTCCAACTTCGAATGTGGTTCGCAAACCTCACGTTACTCATCAAGGGGTTATTATACGCGAAGTTCTAGCTCTAGTTTCTCCTCTCTCAAAGAAACGAAGAGTTGATGATATGGCCAAGCGGATTTCGAAGAAAAAGAAAAAGACAAAGAAGAGGCAGTTAGTTATTCTAACACAATCTTCCGAAGAATAAGATGTGCCTGAAACACCCGAACTTGTTCCAATTTTTGAGCCTACATCTCCTAAGCAGACTGTTGTCATACCACCCGAAGTTTTGTCTGCCAAATCATTTCATGAGGAGGTACGAACTTCAGACATCACTACAAACGTATATGATACGGATGTAAATGTCATCATGGGTGAAGGAGATCTATCTAAGGAAACTACACAAGCTCAACAAGGTACTCCAATTGCTACTTCTGTTGAACCTATTACCAGTACTTTTGTCTCTTTACCTCCATATATCGTCCCTACTACTTCCACCACTGAATCACCAACCTTTGAAAACATCATCAACCAACCCTTTACATCAATTTTCTCATCACAATCTACTGATCCACCAAAAATGATTGAGGAGTCTGATAACGAAGAAGGTGGTTTTGGAGGCACTTTTGAAGATATGGCATTTGATGATGAAGAAGAGGATTTCCCTGACTATATGTTGATGTCCATGAAATAGTTCAAAATTATGAATAAAAAGCTAAATTCCATTATTTAGTCTCAAACAGATATAGGGGAGGAAGTTCAGTCTCTAATTTTGAAATTGATGGACTAATGAAGGATTTTGAAGCACGAATGGGGAGCAAAGTGTCTGGTATGATTAAATACACTGAGTCCAGAATATTGGAGAAGGTTGATCAATCTAATCACACCGCAGAGTTAAGGATAAATTCTTTCAATACACAGTATGTAGGAGCTGTCAAAGAATTAACAATGTTCAAAAAGAAAGACATACATTGTTTGTTATGGATGTGAAGAAGGTGAGAGAAGATGTTAACTTGAAGCTTCATGAGCTTCGTGATGATATGGTAAAAGAAGTTGCTGTTGTTCAGCATGATTATGCAACTTTACATAAAAAGGTTGATATCATTTGTGATGTCGTCACGAGATATGTTAAGTTGTACGAAAGCTTGAGTCCTCAAATTACTCAACTTTCTACAACTGACAATCAACAGTTTGGGGAGGTTATTTTGATACTCAGGGATTTAAAAGAATCAGTGCTCAAGCCTGCTACATTTTCAATAATTACTCTAGAGTTCCTTTCTCAAAAAATTTCATAATTTGAAGCAATTCTTCATAAGCAATTGGCTCTGTTATCTACCATTTCGAATCTTCTGCCAACCGGTGCCCCACCTATTCGACCAAGGGTGCAAGGGGGGAGAGAAGAGAGTTGGAGAAGCTCCTCATGTGAAGGCTGGAGGTGAAGCTTCACAGGGAGACGTTAATGTTGTTGGAAAAAACTTTCCGTCAAAGCTTCCATCATCTAAGCCAACGATTTCAAGCGTTGGGCCAGTTACCTCAACAATTTAGACGTCAATGCCAATCATGAAGCCAATTTCGAAGGGAGTTGCAATTGGTTCATCTAATAATTAGGGTGATGCTTCAAAAGCAAAAGATGTTACAGAAAAATCAACAGTCAAAGGCAAGCTGATTGTTGTTGAAAAATCAAAGGAAGAGAAGAAAGCAGAGGTCTAAGCTGAGATTGAAAAGTTAAGAATAGTCCAAAGCATAATGAGGAAAAGGGCAAGGGATCCTCCTGGTTTGAACAAAGGAGATCCAGCCAAACATTATAACTACGAGACGATTGAATCAAAGGTGGCATTCAATCACATGTATGCATTCGAAAAGAAACCAAAACAGAGTTATATGGTTTCTAATGCAGACATGAGTCAGATTGACTTCCCAATTAATGAGGTGATGTTGCTGATGCCTCAGTTCAAAATTTCGGATCAATTTAAGAGCGAAGATGATTACAATTACACGAAGCTTCATTTTCATGCAATTCTTACTAAAGCTCCAGAGGAAATTTGGTCATTGATAAAAATCAAGAAAGTAATTAGCATCAAACGTTTTATTCGAAGATATAATGCAGAATGTGAGATATTTTGTTGCAAGGGCGAATGGTCAGAATTCTGATTTCACAGTTGCAGATTTTCCTCTCATGAACTTATATGACCTTATACAAGTTGAACTACTCTTAAAAGACAAAAAATCTTCATACCTTCGAGAAACTGAACCTGAAGTTTTTTGACTGGGAGTTGCTCACATCAAGATCTTCTTGAAAAATTATTATGAGTGTTTGGCGCTTATAGATGTGGAGCTAGCTACTGTGAAAGGGCTAGAAGTCGAAGTACCCATGGAACAGACCAAGTCTCAATAAGAGTTGAAGAAATATGTTGATAGGGAAATTTGGTTAAAACCATTCGGTATGGTATTTGCTGGAAAAGATAAAGCTGGAAAGACCAAGAGATTTTTGTTCCAAGCATGTGAAATCAAAAGATATACAACGTCCCAATATACGAACTTCATTGTTCATATGAATAATTGTAAGAAATATAAAGAAGGGGATAAGAAGAAGCTTAAGAAGATTATATCTTGGTACACGGAAGTTCGAATGGTTATGATGTATGCCATCCAGATTCTCACAACCTGAGAGAAGTCGACTTCATTCCAAAGGGGGAGATTGTAAGGGTCGAAGATATTTTGTAATGAGTCGAAGACTATACCAGTCTTATACTTTGTAATATATTTACTAAGGCGTCTAAATTTTCGAATCTTAAATGTCAATGTCTTAGTATTTTTTTGAATACTTTCATGTTTTCTATAAATAGGGACTTTACTTAGAGTTAGAGAGGAGTCTTGATAGAACTTGTCTTTTTACTCTCTATAAAACTTTGGAAGTATAATAGAGTTGAAACAAGATCATATTTACATCAAATGTTCATTTCATTTCGTTTTTACTCTGATTTGATTCTCTTTACTCGATTAACACTTCATCGCCTTCGACATAACAAAAAGGAATGGACTTAATGAGTAATGAGGAAACTTAATTAAGGAAATAATGTTGGGTATTAACCAAGTAATTTCATTATGTAACAGTTCAGGGTTTCCGGTGAGTCATCAGCCAAAGATTTATAGTTTTTCAGCACTACTTACGAGGTGAATTTCCTCACTATACAAAGGGGTCTAAGGAACCAACGCCGACCCATTGGATATAATATCCCAGCAGTTGGTAGCATGTTGAGTATGATTCATTATTATATGATAGTTGCTATGACAGTTAGGTAGATCTGTAGGACTACCTGTGTTATGTGTTTATCTATACGTACATTAGTTGTTTTATATGTCGACATATTATGTGGGGTGAGTTGAGGATACTGCTTCGTGCGGTAACTAACAAACCCAGGAGCATTCCATATACGAGCTGAAGGCCAGGTGGGGCATGCCAAACTCATATTGTGGGCTTGGTGGCAATCCAGATGTGAGATGTGGGTCCGGAAGGCAATCCAGACTCACACTGTGGGCCCAGGGGTAATCCAGTCTGCAAAGTTGTGGACCTAGTTCATGTTGTTGTTTGTATATGTGTCATGTGCAATGTATTAGTATTTAGGGGGACTCACTAAGCCTCAACTTGCAGTTTTCAGTTATTGTTTTAGGTACATCACGGGATCGCGGCAAGGCGAATGCGTGATCGTACAGCTCCTCATAATTTGTTTATGTTTCTGGGAAAACTCTGATGTTAGACAATTTTTGAAAACAAGTTGTATTAACTATTTATTTTGAATGTTTTGAAAAGTTTAAACTTGGCTCGAATTTTACGGTTGTTCCATTTTCAATGACATATTTAAATCTCGATTTTGCCCTTCAAGATTGTGACTGAGATGCCAAGGATCACAAACAAGGTGTGAATAACCATGTAAATTAGCTTGGTACACCGAATGTTACAAATCACCTAATCAATGACCGGTTAACCACATACGCTTAATTGATCTATGATTAGCATTAATCTACCCTTTGTCACGCATTGTTAATCCCAGATTAGTGTGTTGGTTAACCACACACGCTCCACGAACGACTTAAAAAGGTGCAAAGTGAAATTTCATGGGATAGCACCATATTCACATTTTTCTTAAAGTAACTAAGATTGAGAATTTAATAAAAGTTTAGTTACTTTATAATTATCATTATACTTATAATGAGAATTGGTGTCCTATTTTACCCATTTCACTAATGACCCTCCACCAGTCAAGGAAGCGGTGGGTGAGAGTGGATACCCATTAAGCTGCCATTTTATAGGCAGTAACCTTATACCCCCCTTATAGACTGGCTTTGTGAATGAAGCCTACTAACAGTAAGACTGACTTACTCTTACACACACACACACACACACACACACATATATATATATATAAATATTGAGTTTTAATATTACAATAGTATAAGGGTTGAATTTTAACTTTTAAAACTCTAGGGTTTGGAACTAAAGTACTCATAAGGGTGACTGTAAAAATTCCAAAGGGAATGGACTTAACAAATAAGATGTCATGGGCTATTAGTGGTAGTGGATGATGGGTTTAGGCCTAATAAGGATGTTGGGCCCAGTTTGGTAAATTGGGCCAAATAGTGGATTATGACTTAGACCATCCAGTTTGGGATTTGGTGTGGGCCTTCGGCCCAACAAAAAGGAATGGACTTAATGAGTAATGTGATGGGTTTTGGTCATAAGACATCATATGTGCTCATACAAACCCTAATGCTTGGATCTAGGTTTCTTTATTGTACATGCTTTGAATCCAAGACTATAAACCCTAATTCTAGTATATGAAATCGATATTAACATATGAATGGGTTTAAGAACATACCTTGATTGTTATATAGCAATAACAATCCTAATTCCACCTTGAATTGACTTTGGAATGCTTAGAGTCACAAGTGTCACTCCTCTAATGGCTTACAAACACCAAGAGCAAATGGAGAAGGTATAAAGAGAGAGGAGAGAGGTTAGAATTCGTCCTTAGGACTCCTTGGGAACAAGTACACGAATTCTAAGGCCTTAGGGTCTTTATATAGGTGTAGAGATAGGGTTTCAGTGATTATCCTTATCTAGTTGCTTATCCACAAAGCAACCATAAGATAAGCCTTGAAAACCCTTATCCGTTATCCTTTGGACGATTTCAAGGATCCTTATCTCCTTGAATTCGTTCAACCCATATTTAGGATAACCATTACCATATTTTGTAACTATCACATAATTACAATTCAGCCCCTCTAGTTTATCTAATTACACTTGATCACAAAATTAATTCCTAATTAATTATTGACCAATATTAATTAAGCAAATATGATTTCTCCTTTAATATATTATTCTTATAACATATTAATAAATCATAATAACCTCTCTCTCTTTATTTATTTCTCCAATCAAGTTGCTTTGGTGAAGGCAACCCAAAAGGACCATGCACCATCGGGTCAAGTACATACCAAAATAGTTATGGACTTAGACACTAATCCAACAGTCTCCCACTTGGATAAGTCTAATAACTATTTTGCATATGACTTCAGATCCTGATCTGCAATCGTAGCTTTCCAAAGCCGCTGTCAACTCTGATCCTATCAGATACGCGTGTCCTTAGATAAGGGATCATATATTCCTCCATTCTAGATATCGTATGAGATATGATTTCAAATCATTCTCTTTGTACTACTTCTCGATTTCTGATTTATGATGATAGACTAATTGAACAAATCAAATTAGCCCTAGCCCGGCCGAGCATTTACGTTTGTCATCACTAAACCATCGAGGGGCCCAAAGATATCGCTTTTATCCTTCTTTGGATAAAAGGAACGGATAAAATTTGATACAATGCTTGCTTGCACTCACTAACCAAATCACACACAACAATATGTTTTATAACACCAAGTTACTAGTGCGTTTTCATATTATCAATGTGCAACCGATTAGCAAGATACAACTCACACATCTCGGTTTCAAGAATATAAGATGTTATCGTCTCACCAATCACTCGTGATACAATTCATGGAGTGATCCAAGTGAGCGTGGGTTTAATCCAATGGTCAAATTCATATTCATAAGCACTCATGAATGTTGCAGCAAACATTTGCTTATGTCTAATACTCTTTTAGACAATCCACACACCAATTCACGACAGTCTTCATTCATATCTACTTCCAACATATGAACGACTGTGGCCCGTTTGAATAATTCGATTATTCTTAATAAACTCAATTATTCTGGAAGTCAAAACATGCAAAGTGAAAC